TTAATTACTTTTTATTTCTTCAAAATTCAATTTTTTCCCCTCTTGAAAATGATTTAATGAATCAATGAAATCCGAAGAAAAAGGGTGTCGGGGTTACCCCAGAAATATTTCGATTTCTAGAATGCGGGAAATGAGCTTTCCTGACTTCTGAAATGTCTTTTAAATGACTTTTTAAGTTCTTTAAAATTTAAGGTTTTTCCCTCTTGAAAACGATCAGGTAAATTTTTCTTATTTTATGCGTGTATACATACATAAATAAATGAGTAGTTGCACGCCTATTCTTTTTTCCATGAATCGATAAATCCCAAGAAAGAAAGGGTGGTCCGGGGATTATCCCCTGGGAAAATTTTGATTCCTAGATGGCAGGAAATAAGCTTTCCCGACACTGGAAGTGTGTTTTAATGACGTTCTTCAAAATTCGTGTATACATACATAAATAAATGAGTAGATGCACGCCTATTCTGTGTCAAAATTCTAATTTTCTTATTGTAACATAAAAAAATAAAAAAAATTCAGCTCACGGGTCTTGAAAAGTTAGGTCTAGAATTTTTTTTTCTTTTTTTTTTTGTTGGCCAAGGGAGGGGTCAGGACCCATTACCCCCTCCCCCAGATCCGCCAATGTGAATCGCGAGAAAATTTAACTCGGTTGAGGACTGGATAAACATTCTCTTTCCCATCCTTCGCCTCTTTCCCTCTTTCATTTCTTTCCAATCATACACTGCATTTCTTTCCAATCTAAACACTGTGGGTGAAAGTTTTTTTCCAAAAAAATAGGGGGAGGGGCGTACGCCCCTTACATATAATCCCCATTCTAATATTTAACAAAGGGCCCAGAAATCAATTAAGCCAATCAGCTGTTGAATGTATAGATCTCAAGTCACTCACCCCAATGGCAATAAATAGTGCTTTATTTAGGCTAGCTAGGCTAGGGTAGGCCTAGCCTAGCCTAGATGAGACCCTAGCGCCCCGCCTAGGGCCTAGGCTAGCCTACCTACAGCATTGAAGATCACCTGTGTTTAATTATTGAATATAAAAGTTCTATTGAATTAAAGTATGTTGAATTAAAATGTTTTACCAGATTGAACGATCAAACTATCATCTGAGAGAGATAACGTTACATGCCATCCTGTAATGTTGGTGAATGTCTAGGGGATCATCTTAATAATTCAACACTCACTGCATGTTGAGAGCTGAAAACTAGCTACAGTCTACTTTTGGGCTGTGATACCTTCTGTGCAGGGATCATCTAAAAAATTCCGTTTTTTTTTTTAACTTAAAGAAAATGGTTTTTCTTGCAAATTTTTCACTAGACAACCGGGCAACATGAGTATAATAAATAGGCTAGCCCGGAGCGGGTTTTTTTTTGTGATATAAGGGGGAGTGCGCGTCGCAGGCACCCCCCCCCCTAAATTCGCCCCTGTGGCATGTGCGATAACTGGCCTAAAATAAAATTTTATTTTTATTTTAAATCATCATTATTGCATGGCGGGCAGCAGGTTCGCTAAACAAGGTATAAAAGGTCTCACCTAACACTAAGCTTGTGATGTGCTGTACTTCTTGACAGCAAATGATAGAGTTTATGTAAAGTTTTTTATATTTTTCTGAAATATCATTAACATAATTGAACGCAACCTGTCCTCCAGTCATGGTAACTCTAGAATTTTACATGCTAAATGTAAGGGATAAATGGGGCTATTATTCCAACAGCAAAATGTTGGATGACAACGACTATACATGAATAGTGAAACATAAAAATGCTATTCAACCAAACATAACTATGATTACACAGGATACAATTAGACTGGGTTCCAGTCCATAATCTTTGTTTTTAAATCTATTTTGACACCAATGGCGTTCCATATTACCTATTTGCTTGGCGTTTCATAGTACACTTTTTCTTGGATTAGTTTCTCGCATAGAGCTATTAAACAACTAGAGTGCTGACAAGATGGCGCAGCAATGCAGAGTTATGTATGTGTACCATCCAAGATGGCCGTCGTAGTAAAGCGCCACCTTCAGGCTTAGTATACATATTATTACATATTAATAAGCCCTCTGACCGACTATTATTTCATTAATGATAATGAGTAATAGTAATAACAATTTATTAAACTATTGTAGCCCAAACGAGGCCAAGTGAAGCATCTTATTAAAAAATAAAGTACCAAGGAATAAAAATAAAAATCGTATACATTCTTATTATACCTCTATGGTTTCTCGATATATACCGTCGCTGGTGGCGCTCTCCAAAATTAACTAATACTAGGAAAACCTATAATTAGAGACTTGTGGCAAGTCTAAGGATACAATGTACTATGCATTATCTTTTGAAATTGGCATACAACTAAATCAATACTGCAGAGTTTCGATTAACATACTGCAAACATATTTGCTAATTTATCACGCTATAGATCACACAAATCAGTAGTTCCTTGAAGAACACCCCTATGCCAAAAATAGAATCGTCGGATTTTCCCGCTCTCGTTGCCCAACGCCTAGGCCAGGTACTCATTCCTTTGTTTGTCAGATGTACTCGAATTATTAGAAAAGGTTTTTACTGGTGCTGTGTTTGCTTAACTGGTAGGTCTTATATTGATTACACTAAAATTTTAGTCAATTTTTGGTTTATTTATGGCAGACAGACCATGTACAGGGATGTAGCCAGTGAAAATTAAGGGTGGGTATTAAAATTTTAAGGGTGGGTGCTGAATCTTGTGAGTATTTTTTCGCGTAGCGCCAACCGCATGAACAGTTAGTAGATGGGGGGGGGGAGGGGTGGTAATGGTAATTATGACTTACTTTGTTTGGTTTAAATAAAGAGGTAAGTATACTGTGAGATGAGTGCAAATATTAAATTTTACTAAAATCACTGTTCTTTTATTGACTGAAATTAACTTGTAAGTTGTAAGTTTTCTTTAATTTCTGTGTGTTAAGTTTATTTGTTATATTTTCATCTCGTATTTTTCATACGCAAATTTGATCCCTGAATAAGAAGGGTGGTATATTATGCACCTGTCAAACCTAGGCCTAGCTTTTTTCAAGAAATCATCGCACCACACGCACTGGCTGCCGCTAGCCTAGTCTCAGAAAACAACTAGGCCTAGCCTCCTAGAGTATTCTTACAACAAACACATTCGAATCGAAGGTGCAGGAAAAAAAGACATAAATAGAACGATCGATTTATTGTTGTATGTGTTATATTGCAAGAATTTTAAGTACAATAATGTAAAAAAAATCGTTATTTGTTTAATTTCAAAACACATTTTCGATTAACAAATCACAAATATTCAGCGTCTATCAACACACGCATGATGCTCCGATCGAGATTGACGGCGGTAGCTCGAGATTGGACTCCATTCACCAGACGTTTTCGATTGTGAATTATTTATTTATGCAGTATTGAATAAAGAAGTTAATAATAAAAAATAAATACAATGTTTTAAAAAGCGTTGTTGTTTATTTATTATAAAGAAACAATACTGATAATAATGTTCATATCTTTGGTTGATCAAATATGAATTAGCAGGAGTTAATAAAGTGTTTACAGTATTGTATGTATTTGTTTATCTGCGTCTGCGTGTTCTGGAGGTCTGATGCACTACATGGGAAAACCCAGAGAGTTAAAAATAGTCGTAGCGTGGGAAATAGTTGTTAATCATCGTGTGGGAAACAATGAGACAATGCATTTTGTGTATAAATATGGTCCGAATACATCATGTTCCGATGTAACAAACAGTATAATTATGATATCAAACAGAATTAAAATTTTATACTTAATTTATCGCGCTTTGAGGTATTTATGTGTGCCTTAGTCCAACTTAATGCGACGATTTTTCTTACTGGCCCAAGCCTCTACAGCTTTCTTAAATGGGTATTCATTTAGTGTTGGGCCTTCAATCACGATTCTCATGATCGCATCTAATGTTTCTTCCTTCATTCTATTTC